TGGCGATACGAATACGGTTCTGCCAACAACCAACCAAACTTTCACGCATCCGTATCCCAAGCACGAACTTTAGACAGATCGCATTGTCAAAATTTCTATGGAAACTAAGCAACGCCCCTACCGGACGAAAGAACAAACTGACTCCTTCCATAGAAAATTTGACGATGGCGATACGATTACGTCAAATCTGTCAAAGTTCGTGCTTGGGATATGAATGCGTGAGAGTTTGTTCGGTACTTAAAATACCTGCACATTCTCCCGATTGCAGATAATTTTTCTTTTTCTTATTTGGCTTGCTTTTGTGTCTGCTTGTAAACCTCACTATGTTCTTCGATCCCATAATGATAGATAATTCAAATCTATTCAGCCTGTCCCTCAATTTCCGATTTGCCATGATTATCCTTTTCCACATTTTGGAGGCATGATTTGCGCAACGGAGGGCGGTGTCATCTAAATAACTGTTAAAATACTTAAAGAATAAATAAATATTCCGAACACTCAATGATGAAATGATGGCACGGCCGGATCTGGGGCGAAAATGTTTATTTTCAAGCAGTTTTTTAGCATTTATTTCTAATTCCATAAAGAAACAAGGAATGTGACCTAGCAGTAGTGATATGAATAGGCCGATGATAATTATTGATGATAATGAATTACATTTATTTACATCTCCGAGTAGGTACTGTCGTATGACTTAAAAGTTGGCATAGAAGTCATTAAGTACCTACCAACTTACCTTTTTATAATAATAATAATAGGTAGGTGAATTCACTTTTGACAAATTAACTTCTTGAACAATTTTAGAATTATTGAGACCAGGTAACACATAAACTTAACGTAGTGGTAGCTTAGATTTGTTTTAATCTAAGAGTAGCAGGTTTATCTTTCTTCTCTTCTCTTTAATTCTCTTCTTTTTTTTCAATTTATATGGCTTACATTAACATTTAGAAGTATATTAACTACTTAAAAAACACAAAACACATAGCCACTAATTAAAGTAGTATGTTTATTAGGTACTTAGTTGATAGCGGTGAAATATTACGCTCTTGTGATAAGTAAAAAAAAGTTAAAATATAGCGACCGCATTCTGCCACATGTAAGTACGAAAACATGATAAACTTACAAAAATATCAACCAGGACAGTTCCAAAGGCAGACAAGATATTGGGTCCTTTTTTACGCCTGCATGAAATATTTCAGTGCCAAAGATGAAAATTCCGCTGTCATACATAATGTAAACAAATGTTGTCGCGAAATGGGAGTAAATTGAAAAAAATATATCATGTGACTATATAAATACCTACCTACTTTCTTAATAATTTATGATAGGTAGGTAAGATAAAACATAAGTAGGTAGTCAAGGAGTTGAGAATAACTTAATACTAACAAAGAGATTTTAAAATAACTAATCATTACGTTCTATTCAGGTTGTCTGTACTACACATTGGAGATTCTTATTAATTTTAGGCAATATAAAATAGTATTAGCACAGCAAAATTCAAATAATCTGCTACAGAGAAGTAAAATATTATGTACCTGCCATCTGTTGACGATATGAAGAACTTATTTGTGAACGATATGCTTTCATAAGTACAAACACCTGACTTGCTTTCGAACCTTTTTCTGTTGAACGCTTGATTTGATACAAATAGATGTCGCTTTCATGGACTTTCTCGTATGATTGATCATAGAGAGCCTTCGTTATGACCAGTGATGCCAACTTAGCACCTTTATAGCTAGATCTAGCTACTTTTTGATATCACACAGCTACAATTTAATAAAATTTGTAGCTAAACTATTTAGCTATTTTTTCTAGCAACTTTTCATTTGGAGACTCAAGCAAGTCTTTTGTAGTAATTGTTCTACGGAAATTCTTCTTAAACTATTTGTCATAAAGAAACATACTAGGACAAAAAACTTAGACAGAAAGTAGAGTTCCAAACGGGTACGTGAATTTAAAACTCGTTTTGTTAAAAGTAGACTTTTTCAACGGGAAAAGTTAGTATGATATTGACGTGACAACGTCTTAAATTAGGTTGCGGCTGGGAGTCACTTATGAAAAAGTGTAACGCTCGGTAACGTTACGATGAGTTTAAGTTTACATGTACAATGTTTTAGTAAACAAAATATATTTCTATAGTTAAAATTTGTGCAATTCTTATTTTCATTCAATTCCTTGTTCCTATTGTGCAATTTAATTATATTCATATCAATAAATATTCTACCGAGAAAAAGACGTTGTCACGTAAAATCTTCGCCCGTAAAACCGACTTTACAGGCAACCATTTTTTTAGTTTATAACTTTTTCTTTTTAAAATAAAGGTCTCAAACTCATTTTTATTCATCTACGGTAAGTGTTGATATCCTTTTTTGTTATATAGTATCTTTTTTACCTACTGGAAGATTTAGCTACTTCTAGCAACTTTTTGGAGTAATAAAAACTGACAATCTAGCAACATTTTGTAAGATGTCTAGCAACTGGGCAATGGTAGTAGTTGGCAACAGTGGTTATGACTATCTCGTTGTGCCCGAATTGGTAAAAACCTGAAATGAACTTTAGGTAAATTCATAAATGTTATTGTTGATAGTAAAAACTGTTTTCAAAAACATTACCGTTAGTGCGTTTACACATTATCTGGACCAATATCGGTATCGGAGGCTGATATAGGGGCAAATAAAGTGTATGCAATATACATACCTGTCCTTCACATTATTCAGCCCGATATCGGATATCAGGGCTTACTAAACTTATCTGTAGAAAACAAGGAAATCTTGACATTGAATATCCCCGAACGTGTAGCTGTTATAATTAAAAAATATGTTAAAATCTCTCTTCTGACTTCACGCTAATGTGGAATTACATTAAAACCACTCAAGGTATTTTAGTTGATTTTATCATACATGTCCCGGGTTTGATTTATTTAGTAATGGGGAAACTAACTAACCCTCATGATGTGTTTTTGCATCATCCAAAATGGAAAGTATTAGTATTATTTATTTTTAATAATACGTAGAAAGATAGGGGTGCAACGATACCGTTAAGATAATCGTATATCAGCGATTATTGTAAGTTTTTACGATCAGTCGTTATGGTAAACATTGCGATACGATATATACGAGTAATTATTTTCCAATATTTTAGCATTTTCACAATAGTTACGACGGTTTCGGGTGAAACGAAACGCATAACACATCAATTTCTGAATGAACCATAGAGCAACGTGGCCGATACGGCCAGGTTCTTGGTGGAGGGGCATTCACAGCGTTCCCCTCTGTCGATTTTCCTGTTGGGCCACCTCACGAACAAAACTAGTTGCGCGTCGGATATTTCTCTACACTGGGTCAAGTCGCGCGAGTGTATGTTACAGCTGATCAAAAATGCCAAAATGATATGTAAATTGCTGTAAAACATATCTGGAATATTAAACTAACAAAGGAATGGTGTTAAATTTCACATATGTATATGTAGAATTTATTATTAAAATATTATTTCTATTTAAACACTTTTAGACACAAAATTCCTATTATTTTGTTAAAATTCAATCGCCTCGTACAAATTTGAGATATTATGTCAATAAAAAATCTTAAGTTTCATCTCTGTCCTATTTACATTTAGTGCTGTCATTTTTTATGTGTGAGGTTCATAATTACAATTTCGTTTTTGCGAACTTATGTTGGACTGCTGTTGTGTGCTTAGTCCTCCTCCCGCAAAAATCGGCAGTTTAATTTCAGTAGTATCATTAGTGGAGCGCCTGAGGGTTTATACCTCGGATTTTTGCAACATTGAATGAAATTAAAAAAATCTAAATGGAATGTTCAACTATTAATACATAACTTCTCTTCTTTATAGGGTTACGAAGAAGAAGACTCCACTAATGTCCGTCTGTCTGTCACCAGGCTGTTTATTTAAAGCTGTAAATAAATTAAGAAATATCCTACAATAAAGTCAACCAAGGCCGCTTAATTTACATTCCCCACTAACAACAATTAAACGGTCGATCGGTGAACCGTTTAACCATAATGTTTGCTACGGTACGGTATGGTACCCTATCTAGTTAGGTAGGTAGGTGGGGTGTATCGTGTATTTACGACAACCCTGCATCACACGTACTTGCAGACTCTCAGAGTCGATCGTAAGTAGTCTAAAAATTTTGAGGTAGATCGCCAGCAGTTATATTTTGAGCACCCCTGAATAGAGAATCATGCTAGAATCGACACCATTGATTTGACGCAGAATTGCAAATCGAACATAAAAATGTACCTAACAATTTAAAAATGAAACTTAATTAAAAAATAAAATATATTAAAACTGCGATTTTTTTTATACTGTCTTAATATTGATAAAATAAATTACAAATTGATACGTACAAAGCCGTCATTCGTATTGGTATAGTGATAGCCGTGTCGTTGCATCCTTAGGAAAAAAAAATGGTTGCCTGTAAAGTCGGTTTTACGGGCGAAGATTTTACGTGACAACGTCTTTTTCTCGGTAGAATATTTATTGATATGAATATAATTAAATTGCACAATAGGAACAAGGAATTGAATGAAAATAAGAATTGCACAAATTTTAACTATAGAAATATATTTTGTTTACTAAAACATTGTACATGTAAACTTAAACTTAACACGAGAGACTCATCGTAACGTTACCGAGCGTTACACTTTTTCATAAGTGACTCCCAGCCGCAACCTAATTTAAGACGTTGTCACGTCAAAATATTTTGATGACATTTTAACTACATTTTGGCCAATTGTCGAGTTGGTGAATTTTCGCTTTACGTCAACTATATGGCCGATTTTATCGGAAATATGTGAAGACGCCACCGATATCAGATATTGGTTATAAACGTACGATACCGATATCAGATTGGATAATAAGGAAACGCTACTTTTTTATAACTATATAACTTCTTTGATTAGTACTCACTCACATGGTATTCTTAGTTTGCTGTCTATGGACAAATCTATTGAATAATATATTTTTATTTTTTTCTACTAGCAACACTTTACAAATCAACAAGCGGGTTGCTTGTGTGTGGTGTCGGTTTGTTCGTAGTTTTACTAAAATTAAAATAGTTTCGTTAACATTATTAACTATTTAATAAATAATTTTGTATTTAAGTTCAATATACGGAACAGCGGTCATTCAACATTATAAGAATTGAATTTTTTACATTGTTCCGTAGGTTTTATAGAAAGTGACAGATGTTTTTGAAGTGTTAGCGCCAGCTATTGTGGGATTATGAGTGATATTAATACGAGGATGGAAGATACTAATGCAGATAATAGTACTGTTGAATCTAGTTCCTGTAAATTAAGTAAGTTTGATATATCAGCTCGCTTTTACTGCAATAATTTTAGCGAGATACGATTGACATTCGTCTATGTATAGTCCGACCACGTTTTAAAACTGACTTGCATCGGTCATTCTTTTTTTTTATCTTTCTCTGTAACTCCAAGTCTAAATTGCTTTATAATTTGTAAATACTTTTATTAATATAACGTATGGTTTTATGCATTTTTAGTTTTTTTATTTTATGGACGATTGTGCTAACAAATTATGATTTCGTTTTGTAACATCTTTCGTAGTCGGGTTATAATCCAAACATCAATAGGATTCTGTGAACGGAAATTTTGAGGGCAGTACATTAAATTATCATTAAGAAGCAAAATTTCAGAGAAGCTTCATCTGTCGATTGTAAATAATATCGGAACAAATCATGCCTTTTACGAATATCAGTATAGTGTAAGAAATACAGAATGACAAAGCTTCATTTTGTAGTCAGTAGTCTAGTTCTTTGTTTACATAGCCGTAGAGTTTATTTTCAAATAAGATGTTTTAGGTTATGTTACGTTGGTTGTGCACTAGAAAACGAAGTCGGCATTTGGCATCTGCTTCTACTTAGTAAATAAATGAAAATACAATTGTATTCACTATATTTTATTTAAAGCTCGTCATCAAAAGCTTCTTCATCAGTATTTAAAAAATATTATAAGTAAAGAAAATCTCATTATCACAGTATACACAAAAAGCAGTCCAGAAACTAGGCTAGTATTAGGGTTTTTAATGTTTTTGTGTGTTAGGGTTTTAATGTTTTTGTTTAATTCAACTCTGTATCTTAGTTATTTAAGCCTTTTTTGATATAACTTGCTACTTTTCATTAGAGGATCACTCTTTATTTTTATAAAATTAATAGGCTTTTATATAATATTTATTTAAATGTTTGTTCGGGTTGTATGGCAGATATTAAGAGGAGTCTAGAATCCGCAAACTGCAGCACCATAGAACCAGATATGCTTCAGAAATTTTCTAAAAAAAAATTATAAATATGCGGCTGTGCTAACCATAGCTTTTGAAACATGTTTTTCTGATATATTGGAGTAAATAGGATAATATTTGAATTCTAGAACATGATTTCAAATTTAAATAATTTTAAAATTAAAAAGAAAAGCCTTTATTACAAATAAAGCTACCAGTTATTTAACCATAGACAAACATTAAAATATCAATCAACTTTTCTAAAAATATTGTTCTTTTTTTTTAACATTATGCATCTCATACACATTTCGTTTATCAATATTATAATAATTAATTTATGGTCATAAATAAGTTTAATAATTGTAGTACCTTTTATTTTTATGTTGTATACACATTATTAAGTGGTAGTACCTATTTGAAACTAAACGCCATTCTGGATTAATACCCTTTTGTTTGACAATTCCTTTTCTTATGACTGTGGTGTGGTGCGACAAAGTGAACAAAATGTAACAAAGACAAATCGGGTGTTTTGGAAAATAATTACAACTTTTGCTTTTGAATACGGACTTGATCATACTTTTATATGACCTTGTGGCTTTGTTTTTAGGATACCAATTTATTGTTTGTGGTTTGGAACCATTTTGAGATGCATAAATTGCTATTTATGTATAGATAGAATGCGAAGGTATGTCGTTTGTACACTATCAGCTACATTGCGGACACTGTTGAATAGATACACCTGCAGTGATCTATATCGCATCACTAGATGTGTAAATGACATAAAGTTAAAATTAGTGTTTTATTTTTAAAAAAAATGTTAAATGTATAACCTCTGCTCTTAAGCACAAGCAAAGTATTAGTAATAATAATACACTAGAATAGTCGCGATATACTATACTTCACTATGGCACTATTTGTTAGCTAGAGGTTTTGCTAGATCTAGAAGATTCCAAAAAGGGACACATTGTTGCTTGTTTGTGTAATATGTCTAGTGTAGCGAATATATATATTTCATATTCGTTATTATTACTATTATTTAAACTATAAAGAGAACCATTTGAATGTTTGCCTGTAATGAATAAACTCGGAAACACTCACAGACTGAGAACAATCTAAAACTGACAATTAGGTACCTAAAAACTACCTATTCATTAAAGTTATGAAAGCACCTAATTGTTAATTTATAGCAATTCCAATATTCTGCTCAATTGTAGCTCGAGAAATGTATGGTAATTGTACTCTTTGTTAGTATATTATTAAATAACCACAACTTCTAGAGAATTTACAATTTTACTATTTTGATTCCTAATATTACAGCTATCAAATGTCATTTATCGCATTCATGTACACCAATTTAATTGGGTGGGTCAAACCTCGTTAGAACTTCTGGCAGGACAACCTTTCACCATAAATTCCAAGGGCCTGAACAAGGGTTGCCAACCCTACTATAAAATATAGTATCCTACTATATTAGGGGATCAAATACTATATTTCTAATAAAAATATATAGTAGGCGAAACTGCTATATTTTGTTTAAAGCGGACTATTGCTGGTAAAAGCTATCTTAAAAATAAAAACCTAATTATTAAGGCATAGGTATAGCAGCAAAAATATATTAATTTCAAAAATAAAGTAATTATTTTAACCACATACTATATTTTTTCCATTTTCTACCATCTCATATATTTTTATAGGTAACAGCGTCAAAAATACTATATTTAATAGAATAACAGTTGGTAACCCTGGCCTCAACTGACTGAGATGTACATAGAGTTTTATTAAAATTACTTACTTTGCCATGAAACAAGACATATCATCATAAACAAATTTAAAAACTTGAATTTAAGGTAATTTATATCGTATATATATAATTTATAACGTCAAAGGGTAGAGTGGTCTGCAGAATGTCTATAAACTGCAATCCTGTAGATCTGCAATACTTTGTACAACTTATTACAAAACTAATTTATTTCATTACATATTTTTTTTTATTAATTGGTATGTCAGTATTTATAGATCTCAAGATAATATCAACCGATGAACAATAAAGTTATTCAATTACCATAATTATGAAAATTTCAAGGACATGTTTTATAATATACTGGAGATAATTATAGTATCTAATAGTTGTTTAGAAATAAGGACATGTTGCAACTTGTTGAAAATGATCTATGTCTGCAAAAATAGTCTTTGTTTTTTATGTCATAAGGTTAAAAGTGGCTTTGCTTATTACCTGTATTAACTGATTCCTTAACCTTGGAATCTATCTGTTACAATTTAGAGGTTGATAACCTAATAATATTTTTAAATCTCAGTCAGATTATAAATCTGAACAAACCCTCGACATAAGATTTTGAATAGTTAGTAGTGCATTATCAGGTGGATATGTTTAACTTAAATTAAGCGTGTAGTGAAAATGGGAAACAGTAAGAATAATTTTATTTGACATGTAAATTTTATATAAGTAGTGATAGTAAGACTTCAAAGAAAACATAGTAAATATTTTTGTACTACCGGCCAATTTGATTCCTGACCCACAGTAAGCTTATTTTCTTACAATAATTGTAAAACAATAAGGTATACTTTCCCTTAAATGTACATATCCCTAGAAACAAAGTTGTTATTTTCAGAACAATCATTTTTGACATGACAGATTTTGCCACTTCCCAGTGACATAATGTTGAATTTTAGTTTGGACCGTATATCCATAAATAGTATATCAAAGTTTTTCTTAATGTCAGAAATCAAAAAAGTTTCTTTCATATGTATTTACGATTTTCAAAGTTATATCGAAATTCAATTTACTACCAATTTTATCTAAATTATGGTCTACTGCATTTAAACAAAGGTCAAATTTCAAAGATCTCTAATCCACATTAGTACAGGTTACCTTGTTATTAAAAGGTCCTTTATAAAAAAAAATGGATGCGTGTAACTTATGTATGCGCGTGAGAACTTATACTTCTTTAGCATCATTAAAAATATTTTTTAATTGCATGCAAATAATTAATAATTACAATAAAATAATAAAAGGACTGGAAAAGGATAGTTAACACAGTCAATTAAGTTCAGTTTTAATTTGAAAAATTAAATAAATATTTAAAATATTCAATTAAAATCACTACTGAATTTAAGTTATTAGTCCATATGTAATTAGCACTTGTAAGTAACTAAAACACTTTGTCTCTATATAGAAACTAGAAACTTGTGGATAAATATTATAAATATGAAAACAGTGATCAGAGGCGACGAGCGTGCCAACATTGTTTTTGACAACGCGATCATCTTATGGAGCTCCGTGGATCGTTCAAAGTACCTTTCGAACAGATGTCTAATAATGGTGGATTATTAACCACTTAGTGGTTAATAGACACTAACATTCATAACGCGCCCGCGGCCAACTTCATAGTGTTACTATTGTGTTACAGTGATGCGCGCGCATCTCGAAATTTCACTCACATGATTTTTTCATAACGCGCCCGCGGCTAACTTCATTATGTTACTTTTGTGTTACAGTGATGCGCGCGCATCTCAAAATTTCACTCTCATAATTTTTTCATAACGCGGCTAAAGAAGTATAACTTCAAAAACTTGGTTGTTTTGAAATTTTTATGCGGATTATCTGGAATCTGGTTAAGGAATCAATTTGTTTAATTGTACATGTACATTCAGTATAGCTCTTCTCCCACAAGTTTATACATGCACCTTAATAGTTTTATTGTAACCCAAATAAAAAAATACCGGTACATTAATTTTTAGAGTGAATTATTTCCATCAGTAACATAACACTGTTTTACATCATTATTATTCTGATAGATTTTTAACTATAGGTACAATTGTTTTTATACATACAGTAAACTAAGAGAATTTTCGATATTACTTTGTATAATCAAAATACTTTTTAGTAGTAGTATTCTGTGATGTCTTAACTCTCAAGGGCAGCAAATAATAAAAGTTTAGATTTATACAATAATTGTTAAAAAGAAGTTGCGTTTAGTTGATTCTTTTATAAATAGAATAAAAAGAACAGCATTTAAATGTCATAAATAACATTGTTATAGCACATCCAGAGTCATCAGGCGATGACCCAGGCAACCCAAGTGGAAATGTTTCTCAATCATTATTCCCAGATAGCCCAGTTTATGAACCAGAGGAAGATTTTGATACTAATGCAGAACAGAATGATGTATGTACACATTGTCTAATTATTTTTCTATTCTTGTCTTGTTATCATTTGTTTTAGCTTTTGATTTGTTCTTTCTATTATGACACGCATCATTTGTTTTCAGAATGTGACAAGCACTGCCGAAGATGACAAAGCTGAAGCTCCCATTGAAATAAAAGGTACGTCTGTTGGCAACTAAAATTTATATGTTACAGTCAATATGCATAAACAGTCAAAACTACTTTTGACTGCAATAATTTGTAAGAAATACATATTAATGACTGATGACCAAAACTACTTTTGTCTGATATATCTCATTACAACCTATTAGTTTCTAATGAGATTGAACCTAACTCATCATTTTCGATTTCACTATTTGCTTTTGCGACCAACACCGTGAATGACGACCATAGTAATCTGTTCCTACAGCATCACTGTTATTTACATTTGGAATTATTCAACAAACTATTTTTATGATCTTTTGACTAACAAGTAGTTTTACGAGTTTTGACTATGACATAAAGACGTGGTTAAATCTACGTGGCGAAGAAAAAAATTTCATGTATTGTAAACAAAGTATTATTACTTTCAGATGATATGACTTCTACAAAACGAAAGCTTAGTGATGAACCAACTGACACAAATGCAAAAATACAGAAACTTGATCTTACTGAAGATGACTACACAGTTTCTAGCCAGACTTTAGATGATGAAGTATCTGAAATCACTGCTGCTGCAAAACGACTCGAAAAACTACCAAGTGTCTCACGGGTACGTACACCGCTACGATCTAGTCCCAGGAAAATTACTAAAAGAAGCAACAGTGTAGATTTAGATAACCCTAAAACACCAAAGACACCTAAGTCAAGATCAGCTAGTGCAGATATTACGAAAGCACGAAAAACACCACGTAAAGTTCAATTAGAAAAGCCTAAAGAGGAAACTATTTCAGAAGAAGTCCAAATTGTGAACTCTGACAGTTCTAATTCGAGACCTAGTGTAGAGTTCGTTGCAGAAATACGCCCTCCGTTAGACATCGCAGAAACTATACACGAAGAAAGCAATTCCGAACAAAATGATTCTCAAAATTTTCATTTGGAGTTGTCACCAAGTCCTGATGATGCTGCTGATGAAGATAAGGAAGAAAAAGTGTTATTACCAAAGTACAATAGTGATCCAGTAGCAGTAAAGGACAGAAAAGAAGTTCTCGATCCTGGCCAAATTCATAAAACCCGTAGTGAAGGCTTTAATTATTCTGATCAAAACAGCAATTTATCCCAACCTTGCCTTAAAGATTATAATAAAGACAAAGCAACTGATCAAGCGAGTACTGACAGCATAGATTCATTAAATTTGGAGAGTCCTGATCATGGTCCTACTGTTGCTTCTCACTTGATCTCAAAATTGTCCAATGGGAATTCCTCTACACCTACAGAAATTATGATATCTGGAAAACACGGCATCAGCGAAGATAGCGATAGTACTCCCGATATGGTTAAATTAAACGGTAATAAAGTAAATCGAACTAAAAATGATTTGTTCAGAGCCAGCAATACGACAACTCCATCAACAATATCGCCTTTGCAAAATGGACATTCCCTACCTATAAATACTCCTCAAATTCCAATTTTCGATGTCCACGTCAGTCATAGCGAAGAGTGTGAATTTCTTTCGCTTTACGTTGTTAGAACCGATAATGATTTGGGCATGGACATGTGCAAAGAATACCAAAGAATTTCAAAGAGATTTACCATTGACCCTTATTTAGCAGATGTGTCCGTAAGCAATTCTCCTTCGAGTGTAACAAGCGGTGGTATGATAAATCTGCCTAATCGAACCTCATTTGTATCGACTGTTAGTTCAACGTCAACTACCTCAAGTAATCGTACAAGCGATGGTGCCTTTGTAGTTCCGCAGCCACCTCGGAAATCAGTTGCGAACCCTTCAATTTCTGTAAAAGGTTATGATGGTTTGATGAAGAAATTGCAAGAAATATTTTCCCACATTAGAGAACAATCAGTTGATGATGGAAACCGCTCGCTGAACGAAGATAAAATATCAGTAGGCATTCAAACATCCTTATCTAGTGACTCAATGGCACTCAGCAATGGAAACGCAAGCCCTGAAGAAGTCGGAAAATGTGATAAGGCAACTCCTAAGAGCTCATTGAAGAAGACTAGAGTTAGAGGTCGACGGCATCATGCTGGTAAAACAAAGCGTGCACTTTTGCCGACACAACCGGAAGAACCAGAACCAGCTTATGGCATGAATTCTCCGGAAATGGTGCCAACTAATGGAGACACTGGCAAAGAATCACCCATGAAATCGCCTAAAGAAGAAAAGCCTATTTCTACAATGGTAGCAACGCCCAAATCAGTTAGTAAACTGAAACAGAAACGACGACCGACTTCACCCAGACCCGTAACTCCCGTCGAAAAGGTTATAGTTAAACCTGAGTATCCGGGATACGCTCCTGATACAGTAGTTTTGGCAAAATGGGTCGACAAACGTTACTACTCGGGCAAAGTTTTAGAGATCACGGAGCCAAACAAGTATTTGATCAAGTTCGATGATGGTCAAAGCAAAGTGCTTCTAGATGACTTCATCATATTTGGAGACATGAAAACTTTACCACTACAAGGGCAATCGGTATATGCAATGGTTGATGAAGAACAGAACTACGAGCCTAGTTTGGTGCTTGGTTTAGAAGAGAATGACTGTGGCACTGTTACATACAGATGTACTACTGATGGGTAAGTTGAGTATTTTTATAGAATTTATATTGGTTGATTTAATTTAACTTAATGTTGTTGCATTATAAACTTGGATGATTTCGTGCAAAAAATCATTTTGGGCCTAGCACCTATTTATCGAAATTCTAGATACAGCGGTGGTCATATAATTAAGAATGCTTATTTGAAGACGATATATTTTCAAAAAAACTTGGTCAGTCCATTTTCTAAGTCTATGGCGCCAACACATTTTAATGACATGAATCAATTAAATCATCCGGCTCAGTGCGTAGTTACACTTGCTAAGGTCGAGCTAATGTTTTATTCGGTCGTACTAATTTATCGAACGTTCGTTCAGGGATACGCTTGTGATGGTGACTGCCAGCGAGTTGTATCTAACTGAGGATCAAGCGCGTTCCCTGAAGGAGTCCGCTAGGGCGCGCTCCCCTGCCGCGCCGGCAACGCCGCGCCGCCGGCACCATCGCGAGCTCGACCTCGACAACATCATACAGGTGACACGCTTACCACTCGCTATATGAGTATATAACTGAGGACCGAGCGCGCTCCCTGAAGGAGTCCGCCAGGGCGCGCTCCCCTGCCGCGCCGGCCACGCCGCGCCGCCGGCACCATCGCGAGCTCGACCTCGACAACATCATACAGGTGACACGCTTACCGCTCGCTATATGAGTATATAACTGAGGAACGAGCGCGCTCCCTGAAGGAGTCCGCCAGGGCGCGCTCCCCTGCCGCGACGGCCACGCCGCGCCGCCGGCACCATCGCGAGCTCGACCTCGACAACATCATACAGGTGACACGCTTACCGCTCGCTATATGAGTATATAACTGAGGAACGAGCGCGCTCCCTGAAGGAGTCCGCCAGGGCGCGCTCCCCTGCCGCGACGGCCACGCCGCGCCGCCGGCACCATCGCGAGCTCGACCTCGACAACATCATACAGGTGACACGCTTACCGCTCGCTATATGAGTATATAACTGAGGAACGAGCGCGCTCCCTGAAGGAGTCCGCCAGGGCGCGCTCCCCTGCCGCGACGGCCACGCCGCGCCGCCGGCACCATCGCGAGCTCGACCTCGACAACATCATACAGGTGACACGCTTACCGCTCGCTATATGAGTATATAACTGGGGACCGACCGCGCTCCCTGAAGAAGTCCGCCAAGGAGCGTACGTCCTCGATTACATCATACAATACACGACATGAACACAGTTGCATCACAAAATTTTCAGTGGCCATAAGGAGGGCTGCTATGGAAAGGGTTATGCTCGGAGTATCCCTGAAGGACCACATCAGAAATGATGTAATCCGACAGAGAACCAGAGGCACCGACATAGCCCACCGAATTAGCAAACTGAAGTGGCAGTGGGCTGGTCACATTAGCCGCAGAACTGACGGCCGTTGGAGCCGTAAAGTTCTTGAGTGGAGACGGCGACTCGGTAAACGTTGTGTCGGACGCCCTGAGACAAGATGGGATGATGACATTCGTAGGCTGGCTGGATTGGGCTGGATGAGAGTGACAGAAAATCGAGAGTAGTGGCGTGCATTGTTCAGCAGTGGACGAGCATGGGTTGATGATAATGATGATGATAAGGATGATGATGAACTTACAGCTATCGATTTTATACTACCAGTTAGCCTAATGTCTCGATTACAGTTGGTCGTTAGCTCGCATTCGGGTGCACGAAAGACATTACTCGAGTTCGGGCACCCGAAGCAATATTTACACTGGAATACGTATCGGAAGACAGTGTCGGGTAACCAAAATGAAAACTATCCGAGTACGGGAGTACTCCGTTCATTTACATTGAGTCGTTTATCCGAATTCCATTGGCAATCGTATTCGGTTAACGATCAATTGTAATTGAGCCGCAGCCCTACAAACAATAGGAAAACAAAATCCGCTGTATACAAAAGTATATATGGTATATTTCTGTCTATAGGGTCCGCGGAGTGCAAGAAGTAGAGACAAAGGAAACTCTAGTGCACGGAAACGAGTAGCTTCTCCAAAGAGCCCTAAAGCATCTACATCAGGTAATGATACTGTTTTAAATCACTTACAAATGGAGTCTAAACCCTCTTTTATTATTTTAAATATGATTTTCAAGGTCTTCTTGTAACCACTTTCAAGAATTTTTTTCATGAAAGTGTAATGAAGTAGTTGTTTCTGCAGCGATATTTAGTAGTAGATATTTCATCGAGATTAGTTATAATTGCACTCTGAAGAAGGTGACAAAATTTTAAAATGCGATGAATAAGAGAAATAATAGTTTCTTTTAGGAAACTAGTATTAGACATGCAAAGGATTTCCGCCTTAATGGTGACCCTGGCTTCACTGCTCATCTTCATAAAATATATATAACACCAGATTTTGCACTATTGATAAAATATGCCTATGCCACTTAGGAATAATACAGCTTTCTTCTATTAAAAGAATTTTCAAAATCGATTCATAAACTTCCAGAGATTTCTTCCAACAAACTGTACTTCTTCAAAACATTAGTATAGATATATCTATGAATGAATAAATGGTGTAATCAGGTTTGAAGAGTTTAGCTAAAACTATGGCGGGCCGCAAGCGTCTGGCGAGCGAAAGCAGCGAACTGAGCGAGAGCAGCAACTCAGCGCCGCCAGCGAGGCTAGAAGATGTGGCGGGAGTCGAACCGGAAGTGCAACGTACGCCGCGCAAGATAGACGGCGTCAAGGGTGAGTTTAGCTCACCGTATAAATATACAACTATGGTAACGTCGTGAGCCTCATAATGACGGAAGGGTTCGGAACACAGCACAAGAAGAACTAAAGCGTAGTATGAGTTTAAATTCAACTCATAAAGTCGACTTATATAGTTATCTTATTTTTACATATAGACAATAAAACTGACAAATATATATATTTGTTTCTTAGGTTTTCACGCGCATCACTCATTAAATAAAACGATTTTACGGGTGAATTTATTTATCGGACGTTTCGCAGTCTTTTCAGGACTGCGTCTTCAAAAATAATGATTTTTTATTTACTTTGTTGAGCTACCTTCGACAGACATTTATTGAGCGTCCGAATATTTCATTGGAAGATTTTTAAAGCTTTATTGTCTATGCTTGAATTTATAACTAATTTAATTAATTAGTAATATATTTAATTCTTTTGTATAATTTTGAGTTTATTTATTTGACCCTAACTACCGTAAACTACCACCGGTCCAAAATTAGGAGACCTTTCTAAGAAGAACCGGCGAAACAAACTCAGAGAGGCTTTCTATCTCTTATGATATTATACTATACTAATCAGATATGAATTTTCTGAACCATCATAATCAGACTCAGCATCTATTTTCGGTAATGTCGACTATATATATATATATGACCAAGTTGACCGTTTTATTAAAAACGGCGTATTATAATGTACAACACATAAAATATTATGTGTTCATTAAGTGTGCTAACATTTTGAAAATTTTGGAAAATATCATTAATATAAAAATATAACCGTAAACTGAAAATAATAACTTAAAAAACCCGTATCGCGGGTACAACACTACATAATAAAAGCTGGTATCATTATTTGCAAACTTGACATTTGCATGTGTCATTTTTGTCTCCGAGATTAAAAAGCAGACTACGTACAATATAGTATTTTGTTCGCGTTTTTCGTTCGCACGGAGCTCTGCGGCATGTCGACTTTTCAACGGTCCGCGTGTGACTATGAACCAAGAAGTGCTTGGGTGGTGTTCAAACACTTCTTGATTGGGACACATTTTGAACGCTCGTGGTGTATCTACCACCACGAACGTTCAAAATATGTCACAAAATGACCTTTTAATATCATTGCACCTAAAGAAAATTTTTACTAGAAAAAAAATCATGCGGACCTCGCAGCAGTCGACTCGAACCCACATCCCCCGCTATCCTGGCGGAGGCACTGACCATTATGCTACCGTTATATCACTGTATTTACTTTATCAATGTAAATCCGCGGCAACATTTCAATAACACATTTCTTGATTTTATCATAAAATTTTACTTTCAGCCGGTCCATTACAATTGAAGGGGGCAGCGAAACAGAACATAGGCAAGAAGAATTCGAAGTTGACCAAATTCGAGAACGATGAAGACACAGTCTCACAGTTGGGCCCGATACCGTCAAGCGACAGCAAATTATTCGTGGGCCTGCACTTCTTGCTCACTTGCACTGACACGCCGAGACGATTGCGGGAGTTAGCTGAGAACGTTGCCGAGAAAACCGAGAACATTGAGAAGGTTTGTGGGGGATGAGACCGTTCTTTATATAACGATTAGTTTCAATAAATTTCGAGTAGCCGATGCCGATAGAGCTATAAGTAGTTGGTATTGTGTATATTATTTAGATTAAATTAAAACTGTTGCTAAGAAATTAATCAAAAATAAGGCCGCGTTTTTTTCACCTATAGTAAAATTTGAAAAATCCGTTTAATTAGCTAACTAATGGCCCGCCCTCACTTCGTTTCGGTGTAGACTGTAGCCTTGACTATATTTTTTGTTCTCAGGCTTGTATTATACAGAATGACTTTCTTCATATAATTATAAACCTTCTGTGAAAATTTATTTGACAAATTGTGAAAATTTTGTTGCCTAGTTTAGGTTGCCTAGAAAAGTATGTCCCCCTTACTGTTGGCAGTGTTACCAACCCTTACCAAAATTTTACCCTAAGTATTTTTTAAATCCCCCTAAAATTCCCTAAATATAGAAATTTAAATGTACCTTCTTATCTTATTATCTAAATTCTTTCGTTGCTCATAAATTTAAACGTAACATATTTAGTTACAATAAATTATTTTATTGAATAAATACATTTTCCGAATGGAAAATCAAACGAAAATGAGCTGACAGGCTGTTAAATCTTAATTAGAATCTTATAGTTAGAGGTAAACACTAAATCTATTCAGAACATATAAATAAGATTTAACAAACCTTATTTAGCTGTTTTGATTGGTGGAAGGCAAAGAACTTTAGTCCATACAGCCTTAAGAAACAACCTACCACACAGTGAGTTCAGTCGTTTCATATCGTGGTGCGTTCCATTCTACGCACAAAACTGAAAGAAAACACACGCTTTGTTTTTCGATTTAATTGCAAGTTTTGTTAAAAGCCCCTAAAAGAACCCCCAAAAAATTCCAGTCCCTAAAAAAGACCGTTTTTTTAACCCTTCTAGCCCCTAAATCTGGGGGTAAAACCCCAAAGTTAGGAACCGTGACTATTGTTCCATGCCCTCATTATTAAACTAATGGCCCTCCCTCGCTTCGCTTAGGTGTAGAGCTGTAGTGTAGACTATTGTTTTTGTTCAAAGGCTTGTATTATACACAATGACTTTCTTCATAATAATCATAAACCTTCCATTCCAAATAAAAAATATGTTGCATAGTTTAGGGCCCGTTGTACCGAATGCACCATTGCTCGGCTGTACGATTTAAAAAATAATATTGGATAGGATAGTGCAATTATCGAGGAAGGCTATATAACATCAGGCTACAACCCGTAGCAGCGGAGCGTCGATGAAATTTTTTGCAAAAACGGGTAATCATATTCCATTTGTGAGATTCCGTTGCCTGCGCTGGGTAAACGGTTAAAGTTACACAAATATCACGTATGACGGAATTGTTCCACTACAAAAGTTCTGTAAAAAAGTCCATATTTTATGTTTGACTCACTATAATAACCTTTTTCTTCAAATTAACGCGGTGAAACCGCAGGGGCCCTCTTGTTGTGACATAACTGTGATAGTTAGAGATATAGTATCCTGGACTTTTTCGTAGATATTGATGTCCTCTATAAAACTTCTGTACATCACTTTTCTCCATAGTCAATGAATTCCGCAACGTACGCGACATAAGGTTATTTTTTGGTATTTTTTACACACTTTGGGTTAGATTATCGAAGTTTTCGTACGGAACGCAAACTTTTTTGATGTAAGTGATGTACGATGTAAGTGGTGTAAGATTCTAAATGTGAAAGTATTTATCAAATCGGTCCACTAGTTTCGGAGCCTATTCAATACAAACAAACAATCAAATCTTTCCTCTTTGTAATATTAAGTATAGACAAAACATTTTAGCATGTTACTATAGTCTGTCCATTCTATTATTATCTTTTTGACAGATCGATGGAAGTAAAAATAGTGACACCCTATCACATAACTCGTTCGATTAAAAGCTATAATCGATTTTATGCTAGAACATTATTTAATCGATAATCGAAATAATTTTAGTTATCAAAAATACTGGTGTTTAATAAATTATCACAAAATCTCTTTAGATTTATTATTTTACCTAGTACAAATATTTGTGTGATGTTCACGAGTATTTGTTCTGTGTCTGGGTCTGGGTGTGATTTATCTATATTATGTATGTATATACAACAAAAAAAGCAGTATACTTTTTATATGTTTATCCTAATACTAATACTCTGTACAATTGAGTTGTTATTAATTATAATCAATAAATCTATTGATTATAATTAATAATTTCATTTAAAAAAAGGTTTATAAAAAACTATATCTTTGACGTTTTTCCTTACAATTTGGTTGTACTCATTTATTTCTAACGATTATTTGTAATCTGTGGCACATCACTAAGTGGGCGGTACCCGTCCATGAAGTACAATATTCTTTGTAAGACATTTTAACGTAAACAATACAAAATTTCATGGGCGTCGATCTGTCAAAAAGATAATAATAAAATGGACAGACTATAATTTATTGCCATAAGTGTTAAAACAACGCTGTGTTTATTCCATCATTAACCTTGTTCTACACACGAATTTCCAGCAGAGAACTAAATTCGGTCGTGCCATTCGAATTTGAACCTTATTGTTTAGAGCCAAAGCCACTACTCGTCCGAAGAGGATGGTGAGACAGCTGGTTCTATGGCCGGCACCGATACTGAAGACCTGGTGTTCTACACGAAGCCTTTCAACAAGGAACGCCTCAAGGAGCAAATCGAAGCCGGCGGCGGGAAAGTCTATAGGTGAATCAAAATTATATATTTATTATAAACTAACCACCTTCGTGGCTTGTACGCCGGGTTACATGGTGTCGCCGACTCGAGAGGTCCAGGGTTCGAATCCCGTTGCACAGTGTTTTATGGAACCAAAAAAATTTACATGTTCAGGTTTTTACATAAATAGATTATTTATACCCTAAAAAAGGCATGAGTTCAATTCCCAGAAGTCTAACTCAAATACTTTTTGAGAAAAAAAATCATGAACTTATCGTGACCTTTGACCTATGAAATCTAGAATATTTTTTTATAAAGTGAATATTAACAATATATTTTTTTAATAAATATGTGTCAATCGGGCATAATCAGAGGCGTATAAACGCGTTTCTTTAGCTTAAAAAAATGCATTGGTTTGGGAGCAGAATTTTTTTTTGTATTTCGTATTTATTGATTTTTCTCCCTAAAAACGAAAAAGTGGAACCTAGAACTTCGATAGAAATAAACCTACGGATGTGTTCTATCATACATAAATAAGCCACGTGTCACTTTTGCGGCGATTAGAAGATATTCATTTTTAAATTTTTATGCTAGGGTTGACACCGAACCTGACCTCGAACGAAAATTTTTAAAATATAAATTTGTGTATTAGTTTTGAACGAGTTTACAATAATGTAGATTTTAGGAACTTACTACAGTACCTTTAACATATTTTTATGGGCTCCAAGCTCTATTTGCAAAAAAGGAACGCTTATGGTGATTCCCAGTCAAGGCGGAACTCATTATAATGAATATCGATTTTCGTTTTCAGGTCTGAGTATTAACTATTAATTGTTTGTTTTGTGTGTGTGTTTTGGAGACCCAATTAGACATAAGTTCATGCCTGCTTACCTCTACGTTTTTTTTGTAACAATAATAGTTACACCTACTAACTGATTTATGCCCAAGATTTGTTTTTATTTTCTGATCGAATGCCTGAATGATTCTGAATGAATTTTGAAATTTTTTTCAAGCAACATAGTTCATTTTTTCGTTACCGTTTAGCGTGTAAGGTACAAAGTTAAAATGTGGTCGAACAAACATAAAGTATTCCTACATTATCACATCTACATTAGGTAGGTACCTAGTATATGTAAGTATATTGTATTCGTCTACAAGTGTTGTTAATTTATTCAATTGATTGACGGTATTAATTAACAAACAAAAAATTTAACATTTTCATTTAACTCATAGTTGACCTTTGTGACAATCCTAGATCATGAAAGTTGACCTTTATCTAAATTCTGTCATAACTTCTTAAAACCGCAAAAGTGAAACCTGATTTTTTTATGGGTGATAGAACTTGGCTTATAGAACCTTTCTGTACTAAATCCAGGTTCCACTTTTGCCGATATTTGGAGAAAAAAATTAAAAATCGAAATTTAAAAAAAAAATATTTCTCGGAAAATAGGACACTTATAAATAAAATAAAATTGCAAAATTATGCCTTCAATAATTCCTTATCAAGTGGCAAATATCTCATGTACAGATATGGAACCGTCTTTTGAGGAAATTAAATTGTTAATTTTTTAATGCTCAAATTTCAAAAACTTTGCTACTTCATAATTTTTTTTTTAATGGAAATAGTGATCTGAGAATTGAACTCTTGCCTTTATTAGGGTATAAATAATTGATTTATGCAAAAATCTTAAGGTGTAAATTTTTTTGGTTCCATAAAACACTGTGTGTTGGGGGCAGATGTTTGTGTGATGAATACGAGCATTTGTACTCCAGTCATGGATGTTTAATATGTATTTCTATATACTCGTACATATACTTATATATGTACAGTATATGTATTCTATCCGTTACCCTAATATCCCGTAACACAAGCCTTATAGTGCTTATTTTGGGGCTAGACTAATTGGTGTGAGTGTTAGAAATATTTATTTATTTAAACTAGCTGCCACCCGTGACATCGCATATGTTGACTTTAGTTTTTTGAAAATCCCTCGGAAAGCTTAAAATTTTTCGGGATAAAAAGTATAATATGTCTCAATCCATGTCATAAACTATATGCGTACCAAATTTCATCCAAACCCGTTCGGTAGTTTTAGTTGAGTAACAAACATACAAACTTTCACATAATATTAGTAGGATAAATAAATATTTGTAACACTCACAACAATTAGCCTAGCCTCAAAGTAAGCACTGTAAGGATTGTGTTATGGGATAGGGTAACGGATAGAATACATATACTGATACGTAAATAAGGATATTTTATCTAGAAATATATATAAACATCCATGACTTACGTACAAATGCTCGTATTCATCATACTATACTAACATTTGCAGTAGGCGACACCTGTCGTATATACCACTCGGCCATAGAGGTCGTCAAATATTTTTATTGTAGTGTTAGTAGAGGAGCTCGATGGCGCAGGTGGTTTGCGCTTTCGGCCTGCGATCGTGGAAGTTAAGCAACTTTCGCAATGGTCGGTCATTGGATGGGTGTCCAAAAACTTATTATTTCGTGCTCTTCCGTGCTTCGGAAGGCACGTTTCATAAAAATCAAATCCATTTTTCAAAGTAATCGCAAACTTTTTTTGATGTGTGTACATGGTCATTTCTACTCGCTATTTGTGATCTTGCCACCAAAAAGTATATCCTTATCATGCTCTCTCTAATCGTTCGAGCATTACTGAGGATTTTCGTCACCTGAGCTTGGTAATAATGCTCTAATGAGGGTTTTCTGAAATGGCCAGTTGGCAGCACTGAGCCAAAAGGTCTACTCATCCGTCGAAATATGAATATATGGTGCATCATTTTAAAAGACCTCATCTCACCGTGACGCCAACTGCAGGCACTTCTTCAGAAAATAAACACAAAAAATGTGTGCACGGACCACACACCTGAAGTGAAACTTCTTTTCTTAAGTAACCTATCATTAGGAGGTGCATAGGAGAAGTGAGCAGCGCATCCATCACTCATGCTGTGACGCTCGTGTCGCATTTCCGTTTAATCTCTTCCATTTAAATCCCGTCCGAGTTTAGCTAACACACTGTTTCATTTGTCCATACAGCCACTTCGACGACGTACCAAAGAACAAGTATACCGTATGCAAATTGATCGCGCCTCGTCCTTGCATCACCGCCAAGTATATCCAATGTTTGGCGGCCGACGTACGAGCTCTGTCCCACGGTTGGGTCATAGAAAGCTGTGCATCTCAACACCTGTTGGACCCCGATTCCTTCGCTCTGCCAGCCGGATGGTCGCTGCTGCAACAAAGATTCCTTAACTGGGTGAGTATTTTTATGATTTCTCTCTTTTATCATTTTTATGATTTCTCTCTGTCAAACAACGATATTAAATACCCTAGATACACCACGAGCGCTCAAAATGTGTCCCAATCAAGAAGTGCTCGAACTCCACTCAAGCACTTCTTGGTTCACAGTCACGCGCGGACCGTTGAAAAGTGAACTTGCCGGTGAGCTTCGTGAAAAAATGCGAAAAAAAATACTTATAATATGTGAACTGTAATTTTTTCGAAAGATATTTAATCAATGTTTGTTAATTTTACACATTCGAGGCAATTTTTGTGCTAGTACTTACTATAAATTGATTTAATAGACAATATTTGTGATATTCCAATGCATGGTTGGTTATATAGCCGTCTCTTTTCCTCGCGGTCCGTACCTGCTATATTGCTAACAGCGCATTCAGAATTGCGCGTAGAGCCAAAGTAATAAGGTCTATATTCTTCCTCATATAGCAATAAATCGTAAAATTTTACGAGCTTGCATTTCGAACTGCCATAACTCTTTGACGCATGTGTTTTAATTAAGACCTTATGCAGTATGCATTAAAGGTGACTTTCGATGTTTGAATAATGCCTTATGTTGTTTTTGACTAACCGATCATGTTATTGAGCGCCGTGGATCGTCCAATGTACCTTTTGGACAGGGCTCGGGCACGATTTTGTTCGTGTTGGTGTATCTAGGGTATTTAATATCGTTGCTGTAAAAAAGTAAGTTGGGTTGGTTATATCCACGCAGTCATGTAACATTAGAACAAGTTGTGACTCTTTCACGCGTTTACGTATTTATGCCACAAAAAATAGATCAGCGCCTCTGGTGCTAAGTGGCCAGTACCCTTAGCACAAACCAATATAGAATTCGAATAGTTTGCGAGTGCGAAATGTCAATGTCATATTTTGTATGAAAACTTGAATAGCAGCGCCACAACGGAAGTAACGAGAACTAAAAATCAGTACACATTTGACAATGACATTTAGGACGCAAACGTTACGAATTCGATGTTGGTTCGTGCTAAGGGTACACACATCTATTGACGAGTGACGTCCGTACAATATTGATGCTACATTGAATACAGCAGGACCTCTATATATTTTCGGTGGTTATGTTAGTTGAATCCATTTGCGAAGATAAGTTATGCATCAAAGAAACGACATGCTGAAGTCGACTAACTAAGTAATATATACTTAACATCTATCTCAGGTGCTTGTTTTGACAGACAACTTTTGGCCATACTTGTTTAGTATAGCTCAAACCACGTTTCTCACCAAAATCACTATTTTTGTTGTATTAGATGTTAAGAATTTAGGTTTACAAGTTTTATATAGTTTTTTAAGAACTTTGTATAGTTATTTAAGAACAATTAAATTAATTTATGAACAGGTCTAGTATATTCACCCTTAGAAGTACGAATAACTGATCTAACTAAGCCATCAGATTGATTTTTAGTAGTAGAAATAATTCTGCCTATTGGCCAAAAGGTGGGAGGTGTATTCTCATCTTTGATTATAATAAGGTCACCAGGTTTTAAATTATTTTGTACTTGTAACCATTAATTTCTAACTTGCAGCTGTGACAAATAATTAAAATACAATTGTTTCCAGAATTTTTGTTTAACTTTCAATATCCTTTGACAAATATTAAGTCTAGATTCTTTTAAGTCTAATGCATTAGGTTCAGGTTGATCAGTTAACGCTGTACCTATAATAAAATGAGCTGTATCCTTAGCACGAACCAAAATCGAATTCGTAACGTTTGCGAGTCCGAAATGTCATTGTCAAATCAGTACTGATTTTTAGTTCTCGTTACGTACTTTGTTCCGGTGCTGTTCAAGTTTCCATACAAAATTTGACATTGACATTTCGGTTTGCAAACTTTTCGAATTCGATAATGGTTCGTGCTAGGGGTACTGAGTTAAACAATTTAAATCACAAGGTAAGTCTCTTAGTGGATATAAAGGCCTTGAATTGAGAATATATTCAATCTGAGTTATACAAAAAATCGTGTTTTGTTAACTTACAATTAAATAAATTTATTTTAAGTAACAGTTTTACAGATTTTATACCGGCATCATATATTCCACCCATGTGGCTAGCTAGGGGAACTGTAAACTTATATTCTATACAATTTGCAGTTACATAGTCAATTATATTACTTTAACAACTTTCATTTCTAAGCATGTTATACAAATCATGTAGTTCAGATATTAAACCCTTAAAGTTGGTACCATTATCTGTATATAAACAAGTAGGTATGCCTCTCCTGGAAACGAACCTTTTTAAGGCACTAATAAATGATTGAAATGACATAGTTAGTTAGTTAGTTTTTCAGGGCGGTTTCCGCACTTAGTCCTAATTATTGGACCATTGTGCGTGTCTCAAAAACATTCCCGTTTACTCCAGCCAGCCTATATCGGTCCAGAAGGAAAGCAACCTTGGTAGACTGCTGCAAGCTTCCGGAAACGATTCTGGTGACTGGAGAAGTCGTGCCCGTTGGTCGGCCACACTCCTGCATTCCATGATGACATGCTGTGGCGTTTCTTCTGCCTCCATGCATCCTCTGCATAGGGGGCTGTCCATTTCTCCTATTGTATATAGGTGTTTGTTTAGGGGACAATGACCAGTCAGGGATCCTATAATCCTGCGAAGTTTGTCCCTATTTAGTCTGGTAAGGGTGCGGGCAAAACTTTTATTTGCCGCCGGAACTGCGTTTTTCGTTTGCCGGCATCCTTCACCTGTTTTCCACTCAGTCAAGTGTAGTTGAGTTGTTGTTGTTGTTGAGAATTGAGATGACATATCAGTCACTAATTCAAGGTGAATGGCACGAGTAGCCAGGCACACAAATAAACATATGTACCAAGGGGTACATTCAATACTTACAATTTCTGTACGGGACGCCGGGCTGTCGCAGTAGCGGACAGTTACCGACTCGTACTGAGGGGTGGAGGAAGTTACACGCAGGAGTCTTGACTGTAGTGGACTGTAGTTTCGGCGAATAAAACCCCTGGTGTTCGATATTGAAGAAATCGGTGGGCGCTGATAATGGATGGCCGGTGAGAGGAGGCTTCAGGTCCAGAGTGAACCGCTTGATTGTTTCTTCCTGTTCCTTATGGTAGGAGCGCCTGTCGCTGAATGCATGTCGGAGCATGTTCCGACTCGAATTTTATATGCTAGGACTGAGCTGGCCAGCGATCCATTACCTCACCCATGCTATACTTTATTTTTCATTTTTTCAAAAATTACATTAGTGCGAGCTTAAAACTAATTGTACATACATCGGGCATACATTTAGGCATATTTTTAACACAGTTATGTGTCCGTAAACGTGATATTTTAGGTGTGGCGCGCAAAAAATAGGTCTCCGCAATATTTATACTTTCCCCCTCCATAGGGCTTCGCCCTGCCACGGGGCTTCGTTGCCCCACCCGCGCGCTCCGGGCGCGCCGGGTGGGGAGCGCAACATGTCTCAGAAAACGGTTCTATACAAATAGGTTTTGTCTCCTACACGGTACATTTTTACACTTATTGATGTGATACCTATTTATTTACGTAGCCCTACGCGTTACCTATCTAATACAACAAGTTTCTTACAAGAATATCAACAAACAACAGCTCTACGGCCCTATAAAGTTTACAAATTAAAAAGTCTTAAAAAACCTACTTATACTCACTTAATGCCTAACTATCATATACCATTTTAAAGAAGAAGTAAAACACACACAAAATAACATCATTATTATAACAATTATACCTATATCCTATTGACTATTCGTAAAAAACTATTCCCAATATTCTCCTTAATTACGCCTAAACTACTAACACGATTCATACAAAACTTTGATATATTATTCCTATAACTACCTACTATCTAATAAGACATAAATTAAATCAATCAAAACATAAAACTAATACATACTACTATCGAAAACTAATACTATTATCGAAAACTATCAACTCAGGCAAAATCCTATAAGATGTGAGACAAGGACAACCTATTGTCTCCGTCCCTCCTATAGGTCGGAACTATCAGTATTCTGACTAGTTTCCCCGCGCCACCGCTTGGCGTCGTGGCGATCGTTTAGATAAAGTCTTATAAGATTATTGGAGAGAACGGGGCGGAATATCGCTCTGAACTATCAATTTTACAACGGTTTACTATGGGCAGAGCTATCTATTACTGCGATATCCGACTCATTCTAATAAGACAACAAGGGAATGATATTTTTAATGCGTATACAACCGATTCATGTGAAATTATAGATACATTTTTTACATTAATCTCATATTGTCGTAAGTTCATTTCCTTTCGCTTCGGTCGTAAGGCGGTCGTCTCGTACATACTCCCGCCGTGCAGCGTCGGTTGACTCGTCGCTGCATCCAATCACCGTGGGAGAGGCGACCGATGATGTTGTATGCACCACCAGCCGCTCCGAAGGTCGATGTAGTGCTCCTCCAATCTTGATAAGGTTGATGACTCGTGTAGTCGCGTTTCGCCCGAATTGGTTGGCGATAACGATTCGGTGTTTCTTGTCTATACGGCGATCTCCGGCGATTTTCTCTGTTGCGATCGATGCGATGCCACCTCGGGGCTCCCGCCGGTGGCGCGGGCGGCCGAGGTCGATGAACTCGCGGCGGTGCTTTTCGACTTCGTGGCGGCGCGTGCTCGGTGCGAATTTCTGTGTGCGCGTCCACTCTTCTATTTGTCTTCGATAACGGTCGATGATCGATTTTTCGGTTTTCGTTCTTCGGTCGATTTTTCATTTTCGGGCGATTTTCGATCTTCGGTCGATTTTCTATCTTCGGGCGATTTACGATGTTGACTTTTTCTATGGTGTCGCGCGCTTGTGTGCCGTGAAGGACCCATCCGAGCGCGGTTTTCGATGCGGCGAGCTGTTTTCGGTTTCCTCTTCGGACTTCGCTGGCGATAAGGAGGTCCCAATTGTCTTGACCGATCAAAATGGTGGGACGGGCGTCTTCGTATACGAGGTG